TCGGCTACCCATATAAATGCTGTTTCTATTTGGCTGTGACTCCATCCTGGAGAGAGGAAATAATAGCTGTGCTGCTACCATCAACACCTTTGTTTATAGATGATGGAGCTTTTCAGGTTTTTCATTGTAGTCCTGTTTCTCTGACTGTCACTAACTGTATATGCTCTTTTTCCTCCTCTGTAAATGGGAGCTGGCTCTGAGCTCATCTGCCTGGTGATGTGTTTCCTGGACGGGGTCGCTTGTGGAGATGGTTTACAGTTGCCTTTTGAATCTCTGCTTTTTTCGGATTCTTTGCTTCTGTCTCCTTGAACCCCAGTTAGGCTCAGCAGATGGCCACTCACACTAAGCCTAGTCCTGCTGGAGGCTTCCTTCTGCTAAAAGGGAGTTTTTCCTCTCAACTGTCGCTTCAAACATGCTTCATGTGAGGGATTGCATTTGAGTCAATGAGTTGATGCAATCAAATGGTTTTCCTTAGATGGAAAACTTTGAATCAGTTTGACTGTACGATCATGTTGAATTGTCTCTGTAAAGTGCCTTGAGATGATGAGAATTGGCGCTATATAAATAAACTGAATTGAATTGAATTGAAAACTAATCAAGGAAATAATTGGATGACATCACTGCTAATAAAGGAGTGGGTTTAAAAATAAGTTATTATTTCTACCCGCTCTTTTATCCCAATATATACATTTGCTTTTTTTGACTACACTAAGTTCAATAAACTCAAACTCAACTGAAACGCCATCAGAGTAAACTCTCAACATATATTTTGCTTTATTTCAACATGAGCTTATGGTTTCTTTTGTTTTTATACTATATTAAGAAAAACGGATGAAGAGCAAAGAAATACTGTAGGTCAAATGTTAACGAGTCTATAAAGTAGCTCATAGATTTCCCCCCCTACTGTCACACTGAGGTCCAGTGATGCATGAGCTTCTGGAGAGGCATGGCGTTATCTACTTCAGTAACACCTTGCTGCACACACAGATCAATAATGAACAGTGCTTAACTTGTGTGGCCACACATCCAATCCTTTGTCACTGTAAAAGCATAATCTTCTTTACTGACCTTTAGCACAAAGGTATCCCAGGGGGAAAAAAAAACAATTGAAGATAAACAAATATCTCATCAACCATACTTTGAGTAGAACATACAAGGTAAGTCCATTAATCCAATTTGAAGGAACAAATTTCAGGTGTTGTCCTGATGCTGATGCTTGCTGCATGCGATTAATCATTGAATGCAAAAACAAACTAAGATCTTATACTGTAGCAGACTGGTATCATGTTTTTGTCATGTAATTTTATTTGTCTCCTTCTTCATACAGGGAGACCACGCTACGGTGTCTGTGACCTTCACTGTTATCCAAAAATCACTGGATCATAACAAAAATGGAAAACCTCGTCAGCCATTGCTATCACACCTGTAAATTGGTGGTTTCTGCATCTCTATCATCACTTTCAGCTTTCAGGAACAACATCAGTATTTTTTTAT